AACCAACCTTCCAGCTCCACGTGTCTTCTCGTTTCCCAAGTTATTCCCTTGCCCTTCCTTCTAGAATGTTTGCTGCTTCTACTCGCGAGGCCCAACAATGCTCCTAGGCCCGAGCTAAACGATTCCTCCTCTTGTATGTGTAAAGGATCGATGGTCTCTGGTCCTCATCTGTAACATTATCCCCTCCATTCAAACTGACCTTGTCCTTAAGGTCAAGCTCCGGATACCACTTCTGCAAGTTAGCCCTCCATTCCCACGAGTTCTCGTATTCAGGAAGCTCTTTCCAGCGGATTAAATACTCCTCTTGTCCCGTGCTCTGGTTCTTCCGTGTCCCCAAAACTGCCTCGGGCTCCCCTTTCAGAACCCTCTCTTCTGTGAGCTGAGGAGGAAGTGGTGAAGCAGTGATGGAATCCCCTACGGCCTTCTTCAACTGCGACACGTGAAACGTGTGATGGATCTTAGCATCCGCAGGTAGCTTCAGTTTATAAGCCACTGGCCCCACTCTGCTCTCCACCTCGTAAGGCCCATAGAATCGAGCAGCAAGTTTCTCATTGGCCCTTCGTGCAAGTGTTTGCTGACGGTAGGGTCGTATCTTGAGGTACACCCATTCCCCCACAGTAAACTCAACATCTCGGCGGTGCCCGTCAACCCTCTCCTTCATGTCCTGCTGTGCCTTGTGAATATGCTCTCTCAATACCAGTAACATGTTATCCCTCTCAATCAGTCTTCCCTCCAAATCAGCATTATTAGTGGAGCCGTTTTCGTACCTGAGAAGAGCCGGTGGATCCCTTCCGTATACAGCCTTGAAGGGAGACATTTTGATCGCAGAGTGGTGTGATGTGTTGTAGCAGAGCTCCGCCCATGGAAGATACTTTGCCCAAGTCTTAGGTTTGTCACTCGCGAAACAGCGGAGATACGTCTCCAGACCTCTGTTGGTGACCTCCGTTTGCCCATCGGTTTGGGGGTGATAGGCTGTACTAAGGCACAGGGTCGTTCCAGCTAACCGAAACAATTCGCGCCAAAAGTGACTAGTGAACACCTTGTCGCGGTCCGAGATTATGGTTTTGGGGAACCCGTGCAGTTTGATAATCTCCTGGACAAATAGGAGCGCCACTTCCGTTGCTGTGAAAGGGTGTTTGAGCCCTACAAAATGCGCATACTTGGTAAACCTATCCACTACTACCAGTATCGCATTGGTTCCTTCTGATCGTGGTAACCCTTCCACGAAGTCCATGGAGATATCCTCCCATACATTGGCTGGTATTGGCAAAGGCTGAAGTAACCCACTCGGAGCAAGGGTAGAGTACTTGTGCCTCTGACAAGTAGAACAGGCTGCCACATAGCGACGGATATCTGTCATCATACCTGCCCAATAGAACAACTCTCCAATCCTTTTCTGAGTTTTAAGGATACCCCCGTGTCCACCCATTTTCCCGTCGTGGAATTCAGTGAGAATCAACCCCACCATTGCTGATTTTCTCGGGACTACCAGCTTGCCCTGTCGGAGCAGTCTTCCCTGAACTAACGAGTACTCAGGGTGTGCGTCAGGGTTGCTTGACAGCTCAGTGATGATTTTCCGTAGCTCGGGATCTCTGTCTACCTCCGCACATATCTCTTCCAGTTGAATCGCTGCAGGCATAGATAGTGCCATGAGTTCTGTAACCCTCGCCTTGCGGGATAACGCATCGGCAGCTTTGTTCTCGAGACCCGGTTTGTAATGGATGTCAAAATCGAATCCCAATATCTTCGTCAACCAACGCTGGTACTCGAGATTTATCTCACGCTGTTCAAGGAGGAACTTCAAGCTTTTCTGGTCAGTTCTCACTAAGAATTTCCGCCCCAAGAGGTAGTATCTCCATTTCTGAATGGCAAGCACTATAGCCATCAGCTCCCTCTCGTACACCGACTTCATTCGCTGCCTGTCGGTAAGAGTCTGACTGAAATAGGCCAACGGCCTTTGATTCTGCATCAGCACTGCTCCGAGCCCCACTCCTGACGCATCAGACTCCACTACAAATAGTGCTGTAAAGTCAGGCAGAGCGAGTACCGGCACCGTGGTCATTGCTTGTTTCAACTGGTGGAAAGCCTCTTCAGCAGCGTCATTCCACAAGTACTGATCCTTCCGGAGTAACATAGTCAGAGGTCTCGCTATCTCCCCATACTCCTGCACAAATTTGCGGTAGTAACCCGTCAATCCAAGGAATCCTCTCAGCTCCTTCACATTCCTCGGTGTTGGCCACTCTACCATCGCCTGTATTTTGCTAGTATCAGCCGCAACCCCTTCCGCAGATATCACATGCCCAAGGTACTCTATCTGCTTGCTACCGAACTGACATTTCTTGCGGTTGGCGTAAAGCTGATTCTGCTGTAACACCCGCAAGACCTGCCTCAAGTGATACTGATGTTCCTGACCATTGCGGCTGTACACCAAGATGTCGTCGAAGAATACTAGCACGAAACGACGCAGGTAAGGCCGGAAGACATCGTTCATCAAGGCTTGAAAAGTGGCAGGGGCATTCGAAAGGCCAAATTACATCACTAGAAACTCGTAGTGACCATCGTGGGTTCGAAAAGCTGTCTTGGGAATGTCTTCAGCCTTCACCCGAATTTGATGGTACCCTGAGCGGAGATCCAGTTTTGAGAATACCCGAGACCCCTGCAACTCATCCAATAGCTGATCTATCATCGGAATGGGATAACTATCTGGTATTGTCGCCTTGTTCAGTGCTCTATAGTCGACGCAGAACCTCCAACTGCCATCCTTTTTCTTAACCAGGAGCACCGGACTCGAGTAGGGACTACCACTAGCTTTGATGATTCCCGCCGTGAGCATGGCACGGACCTGTTTCTCTATTTCTTCTTTCTGTGCTTGTGGGTATCGAAACGGTCTCACGCTGATTGGGTTAGCTCCGGCTGTCAACGTGATACTATGCTCCTTTCCTCGAGAAGGTGGCAGCCCCTGCGGCTCTCGGAACACCTCGTGATGCTCCTCCAGAATGGGCTCGAGCTCCTCTGGAATTGAAGCCAACTCCTCCCCCTCCGTTTGCAGCCCGTAAAACTCAATCACCATTCCCTCCCCTTGGCGTTCCCACGCCTTCCAGAGCGCTTTGAGAGAGACCACCGCGCTGCAGATGCTGGGATCCCCTTGAAGAGTGATAGTCTTTTCCCCTGCCTGGAACTTCATGGTCTGGAGCTTCCAATTATCCCGAGTCTCACCCAATGTCTCTAGCCACTGTACTCCTAGGATCACGTCTGCACCGCCCAACGCGAGTGGAAAGAAACTTGCTACCATCTTGTATCCTTGCATAAGGAGCTCAATATTCCGACAGACTCCCCTCCCTCGTACGGTGATGCCAGTGCCTGTCACGACCCCATACCCTCCCGTGGTCTCCGTCTCGTCTCGATTCCCAGTTGACTCACGACGGCGTCACTAAGGAAGTTATGCGACGCGCCGCTGTCGATTAACACGACCACTTCTAACCCGCGTATCGTTCCCATAAGTTTGATGGTCCTTGGCGACGAGATCCCGGCCATTGAATTGAGTGACAGCTCCGCTAATTCCGTGACCTCCTCCCCTTGCTCGTCGAGGGTTTCCTCGGGGTCTTCCGTCCACTCTTCCTCCCTTCCATCGTCGTAGACCACCAGCACCCGTAACTCAGCTTGACTACACCGGTGGTTGTATCCATATTTCTCATCGCACCTGAAACACAACCTTTTTGCCCTCCGCTTCGCCATCTCCGCCAGTGTTAGTCGTCGAAACAGAGGCTTCAAGCGGTCGTGACTCTTCGGGTGGTTTCCCCCAGCTCCCTTAAACGTCGTCGGTTTATTGTTCCCTTGAAAGTTGGGTTTGGGCCTAAAATTCTGCCCTCCACCCCCATACTGGCCCATGTGAGGGTTGTTTGGGCCCGCACGATTCACCGCAGTCCGGTTCTCTCTAAACCCGTCGCCGGAGCCAGGGGACGATTTGGGGCCTCCGTACTCGTCCCAGTCCTCCACCATTTTTGCCAGACTCATCATCTTATCAAGGTTGTGGGGTTCGAGCATCGCCACACCCAAACTGATCTTGGGGCTCAAGCCGTTCATGAACGCCATCTCCAAGACCGGTTCAGAGAGCTCGGGCGCGTTTGATGCCAGAGCGATGAACTCCCGACAAAAGTCTCTGACGGTGCCCTCCTGCCTCATCCTTAACAACCGTGCCCCGGCCGACGAATTATGCGTCTGGGAAAAATATCCCAACACTCGTGTTTTCATCTGGTTCCAGCTATTAAAGGGATTTCACCCTCTTTCCCATCGATACCAAGTCAACGCTCTTCCGACGTAGCACATCCTCACCGCCCGAAGTTTATCTTCCTCGGAAAAATTGCTCAGCTCAAAGTACTGCTCCACTCTCAACACCCAACTCTCTGCGTCCTCTCCGTCAAACTCCGGCACCTCCATCTTCTTCATGAGAGGATCCTCCGGGCCCACCGTGTTGGCTCTGTTTTGGCTAATCGGAGTAGCTGACCCCACGAGAATCACCTGCTCGCTCCCCGTTGGTGGCCCACAGGAGGACGCGCTTGGCTGGCTCGTGTTTTCCTCCAGAGACATCGTTTCCTTCTTTTTTTCCCGGTCCATTTCATCCATCCTTTGTTGAAGATGATCGAGCCTCTGTAGTTGAGCTCGCATCTCCCCAACGTTTTCCTCCAACGAGTTCACCTTCTCGAGAGTCCCCTGCATGATCTGTAGCTGCTCGAGGACCTTCTCCATGTCAGTGCGTTCATCGGTTTTCTGTGCTCGCGGCGGCATGGTCACCTGGTTCGACTCGCTCTGATACCAAGTTGTTACGATTTGTAATTGAAACTTTGTAACTGGAATCAATTGAATAACGCTCTTCTTATTGCGATTGATCGGATAACAGTTTACAGAGAAAAAGAGAAACCCGTAGGAGAACAAGTCCCCTTTCCCCCCACTCCTCAATGATCAACCTTGATGATCCCAAAATAACAAACCCCCCCCCCCCCCCCCTCTATTTACCGATCCCGAGAGATCCTTCGCAACTTCCCATGTGCGGCATTATTCCCCTCGAACCAACCTTCCAGCTCCACGTGTCTTCTCGTTTCCCAAGTTATTCCCTCGCCCTTCCTTCTAGAATGTTTGCTGCTTCTACTCACGAGGCCCAACAATGCTCCTAGACCCGAGCTAAACGATTCCTCCTCTTGTATGTGTAAAGGATCGGTGGTCTCTGGTCCTCATCTGTAACATCTGACTCAGATTCATTCCTCACCCTTTTATCCTCTCCCCAGGTCTGTACTCCTCTAGGTATCATATCATTTTCAAAGTGAACCTTTTTTGCGCTTCCGCTACTTTTTCCAAAATCTCGCTTCAAACTCGGAAGCGGAAGAGGTGAGTTCACCGAAGTTCCCATGCTTCTTAGCCCAACAAGGCTTGTGCAGCCAGACAGCTTAAGCTCCACAATACATCGCGAGTTCTTTAATCCTGATGGCAGTTGCTGAAGCATTCTACAGTTCTCCAGGTCTAGCGTACCGAGTTCAGTGAGATTCTCAATTGACGTGGGAAGTTGTCTTATGGCAATCCCAGCTAGATACAACTCTTTCAAGTTTGGTGCAAAATCCTGAATCTCCTCTAGCTCTGAGCAGCCAGACATGTTGAGAAGCTTCAAAAATGTCAAATCAACCATGGTGGGCAAACTTCTCAAGTGAATACAGTCTTTCATATTCAAGGAAACCAGCTTCCCAGAACGAGGAATAGAGGTGCTAACATCAACCAGACTCGTACATCCTTCAAGATCAATGTGTTCAAGGTTCAGGGCTTCTGATAACATCAGGATATCAGTTAAGTTTCTGGAGTGACTCAGATTTATTTTCTTTAGCTTCACCAGATCCTGCTTACAAAACATCATAACTAAGATAAGTTATCACACTCAAGCTTATAAATTCATCGACGCAGCTTAAAACAACATAATGTCTAACACTTACTTTCTTCCCTTCCCATAACTTCTCCATGTTACTATAAGGCATGTTTACTTCTACAAGGTTCTCAGGATTAAATTTTTGAGGCAAGTATTTCAGAGGGTAATTCTCCCAGTGAAGTAGTCTTAGCTCATCAGGCAAAGTGTCGAGGCCTTGAGGTAGGCTTAGCTTGCACTGGTTCCCATAAGTGGAACAATACAACTTCAGCAATCTAAGTCTATACATCTTACCAAACACAGTAGGACTAAGCTCACAGTTCAAGTCAGACGCATCCAGGAAGATGCCCTCAATTACTTCTGTTCCCTGGAATAAACGATAACAGTAGAGAAATGTTAGCTTTTACAACTAAAGAAAGAATAGTTAAAAGAACAAAACACATTTCGACTTACTAAATTATTTGTCAATACATCGGCGATGTCCTTAGAGTCCCACAACCTGCTACGTTCGCATGGGTTCTCGCCTTCCTCATAAACAATAAATCGACCAATGTCTTGAAAAGGAGTTGGGATCTCTATCCTACTGTCCACAAGGGTGATGAGAGACTCGTCAATGAGATCACAGATTCCCAAATATGTACGAAACCCGCAAGCATCCAGTAATTGTACCACATAGTCTTTGTTCTCCCCTCTGAAAAAACATGTGAGATCCAAAAATATGTTTTTTTCGTTATCATCTAGAGCATCAAAACTTCTCCGAAATGCTTCCTGAATCTGAGTTGGAGGATTTCTCCGCAAGCTTTGGAGATGTTCCTTCATATTGCTTACATGCTGCTTTGATACAGTGGAACCCAACACTTTGAGGGCCAGTGGAATACCACTACTACAGCTCAAAAGCTCCGAGATTATGCCACTCTCTACACTCAAATATTGTTTGCAGAGACGAAAAGATTCAGACTCGCATAATTTTTGGATCCTGTATGGCTCTTTAACCTTACACTGGACAAGAACTTGTTTTCTCCTAGAGGTTAGGATGATTCTGTGTCCATGAGAAAACCAGCCAAACCCTCCAACTGCGGCTTCTGCATCTCTGGCGTTACTCACGTCATCGAGAACAATAAGAATCCTTTTTTTGTAGAACAAGTCTCTCATGAAACTGAGTTTTATATCAGAAGAGCCTATACTTAGTTTTTCTTCCCCGAATACTTTAGAATAGAAATCATCACGCATTTGCCTCAGCCCTCTCGTTTGACACATCAGATAAAAGTCTTGCACATAGTAGCACAAATCATATTGTGGAGCTAGAGCGCCAAAAATCTCTCTAGCAATGGAAGTCTTACCTAGTCCTGGCGCACCCCAAATTCCCATAAAATCAGCGCCTGGAGGTTGGGAGTACTCTAACAATGCTAGAATGCTGGCCATATTCTTGCTATTTTTCAAATGTAGCCTTAAGCATGCGTTTCTTACAACTTCCTCGGCAAGCATGACTTGGGTCCTGCAAAAAAAGAACACAGAACAGAGATGTACCGAATCAACACCATATTGATAAGAAAAACTCCTTTAATTAACTATAAAATACTACTACTAATAAGTAATAAGCAGAACTAAAAGAGGTCATTTACTCTTTTGTCCAGTTATGTCCATCGATGGATGCTATTTCAGCCATAGCCGCCTTCCATTTCTGAACTCTGCCTGGCTGGTCAGAATCAAGAGACTGCAGAAATGCTGCTTCAAAACTGCCTTCCAACCGACAAATGTCTGAAAGTGTTACCTTAAAATATATAGGAATAATCACAAGGTTTTTTGCTTTCCAATGTTCCATGATGGCCACGAGATGATCCAAGGACTGTCTAGCATAAGCATAACTATTTGAAAGTACCAAAATACCAACACCAGATCTGTGTAGGGTCTCTTTGTCAATGTTCTTTTTGCATGATAGATTATATGTCAAAGGGGTAACCTCTAGTGCTTGCAGTTTTTCTGAGATGGTTTCTACGAAAAGTGTCTCGTCCTCGTCCTTGTCCACATCCACATCCTTGTCATTGCACGAGAAGACTAATATGCATTCTGTTTCTTTGTGGAAAGGATACGCCAGATGCAGAGACCCTGGACCCGAGTCTCCTGGAAAACTGCGGCTTAATGGGAGAAAAATTGGGAATTTGGTACCGAAAGGCGGCAGAATCCCTGGCTTTTTCCCAGGATGGCGAGAGGAGAGTGAAGCAGGCGTCAATTTGACTAGCCACGGACTAACTCGCTTCACGTCTACTAGCCGTATATCCTGTTTGTCCCACTCTACCTATAACCACAACCGGAACATATTCATCTTTTAACTGCATTTTGAGTCAGAGGTTTTTGCAAAAGAAGAAAATAGAGACCTGGAGGAGACGCCATGGGGAATCGGGCCAGCGGATTGGATCGGCGTCTTGAACGGCGGAGACAGTACCCATGAACCAGCTGACTCCAGAAAGATCCTCTTTTTCAAACGCCATTTTAAACCTCATGCCAGTGCACCATTGTATACTCATTGCTGCTCTCACATCAGCCGCTTTCACGCAGAACTCCGGCGTGCTCACGCGAGGGTAATAAACCACCTCGAACGATTGCCCACACCCCGCACGCGCCATTGCTAAGTGGAAACCCGAAACCCCGGTGTGTGGGCTGCTAGATCCTAAAAGGTCGCTTTTTGCGTGACGGATACCGACGCAGAGGTCGCCGGATTCGGAGCGGAGGAAGACGATTAAGTCGCGAGCGATGAGTTTCTTCCGGTCAACGAAAGTGCTCCAGCCGGTTGTCAGGAGGTGACGGCGGAGCCTACCACTGTAGATGTGTCGGAATTTCCAGGTCTTGCCGTGGATGTCTTTGGCGATGACGGTCTGGCCCGGACGATCCGCCTTATAGTCAAGCCACGGGAAGATTGTTTCGGCACAGTTACGCGGCAAGGATAATTCGCCGCCCTTGTTGGTGTCAGAATACGTCAGCGATTTAGTGAAAAACACCGGTTTCTCGCTGCCGTCACCATCTGGAGGATCTGGACTTGGAACGGCGGCATTTATCTGATACAGATTAGTTTCTGGCTGCGGCAGAAGCGAAATTTTGGCGGAGACCTCATCGGTTTCTGCGTCGGCGAGTAACTTCACAGCGACGACGCGGCAGAGGATGAGTGGTGGGAGGCGCGGCGCGTGAAAGTTGGGAGGCGCGTGGGCGTGCTCCCTATGGCCTTGAGGGAAGTAGAAGATCGTTGAATTTAGTGAAGGAATCTTAACCATTGACCCTGCACAAGCACGCCATAGTTGTGGATCCAAGCTTTTATCTTGCTCCATTTCTCTTTTCTAGCAAAGTACCTCAAGAAACAGAGAGGATTTGAAATCAAAATTGTAACAATAATTAGTCTTATTTGTATATTTGTATTTGCTTTTACATCATCAACAAATATTTTATATATATGTGTATATATATATAATTTTTACCTGTGTTGAGAAGATAATCCTTAGTATTATTTGACAATCAAACTTAATGAATAGAATTGATGTGTCATAAATGAAAAGTTAGTGTAAATTAATACTCTCTCTTAAAATAAGTGTTTTTTTAAGTTTTTTTTTTTTTATAAAAAATGTTATTTTATATTTTTAATGCATAATTTTGAATAAATATTCAGTTTTAACTTTTGAATTTTATTATTTTAATTAGAGAAAGAATGTAATTATGTATGTGAACAAATGTTAAAACAGAACTTTTAATCATTTTCTTAATTTATGTGATAAATGTCAAAGTGACACTTATTTTTAAATAGAGAGTAATGATTTGGAAATATGATATGATAAATTTCATAAAATAAATAAAACTAGGTAACAACCCGCACCGTATGCAGGGTAAAATAATAATTATTTATTTAATATAGTATAATTTTAAAATCATATAACAAAATACAATTTATTTTATATGAGTTGTTTATAACATTATGCTGTAATATTGACAAAATATTTTTCTTGTTTATTTTATGAAATATAGGGTAATTTAATTCTAATATAAATTAGTTTAAAAATTAAATATTTATACGCAATTTGGATAGAAATATGAAGTCGCTCTTTATATTTTCTATAACCGATGATTAATAACATGATCTTAAAATTCAAAAAAAAATAGAAGGAGTATATTTTGATTAAATTATTAAGTATCTAATGCATTATGATAATAATAAAAAAAAATTACTACTTCCTCTGTTTCATAATTTTTTTTTAAGGTTTTATTTTGTTTCACAATATATTTGTTTTCATTTTTTTACTACTTCCTATGAATATTATGTGACCGATTATATTTTTCAGTTTTTCATAATTAGTTGAATTATATCTAATTTATATACTGAATGATTACTTTTTAAAAAGAAAAGTTGCTTTTTAATATTTGTGCTTTGATGCAAAACAATTTATATTTTGAAATAGAGAGTATTAAAATTATAAAAATAAAATTTGATTATAAGATTCTATCATCGATTTTAATATTTTTTTTACAAATGTAAATGCATATTTAGATTAATGCGCAAAAACTATAGTCATAAAATTTTAAATTTTAAGAAAAGAAAATTACTGTGAAATTTATTTTAAATACTAAATATACATAAAGATTATATAAAAATAAATTATATTTTTTATTATTTTAATACATTATCATTGTATATAAATGAGTCAATACTTATATATTCTTAACTTTTTGATTCAATAAAAATATTTTTAATATCAAAAAGTTTAATGAAATTATTATATAATATCTTTACAAAAGTATTTTAATTTTTTACTAAGTATTTTGTTGTACAAATTAAAAATTTATGATATTTAACTTTTTAATCAAATAAAATATTTATAGTATCATATTCTATTAACATGTTCAACTACTTTTTTATAGTTGAACTTTTTATTAATATTTTATACTTATTATAAAATTTAAATATTTATATTATTTGGTTAATTTATATGGTTCTAAAACCATATGAAACCAAAAATAATTATAATAATAATATCTATTGAATTAAGTTTCCTGTTTTTTTTATCATCTATGTATTTTTTATATTAATTTATGAATCATCTATCTACATATCCTTATTTTCAATTTTAGTCTTTCAAAACATATTTTTATTTATTAATCATTTGTGTAATTTATATTTTTTTATAAAATTCGAATTATAACACTATATATATATATATTATTTTACTATATGAATGATGTGATGGTTTATTTTTCAAAAATAAAAGGTAAAATATAGTATTTAAAAAAAGAATTAATATGATATTTTTTTGATAAAAAATAAAAAAAAAGAGAATATCTTGATGAATTCTCATCAATATAATTGATATAAACTAATGTATAACTAAATTAATGTGAGTGGCATAACATGTAATTAATCTAGTAATATAAGTCTATTTTTATAATTTTGCTGAAAATGATTCTGGTAATGACACATCAGCAAAATGGCACCATTGTAATATTTTACAAAATTAAAGTTATTCTTTAAAAATGCTTCTCTTTTAATATATAGGGGATATTTTGATTGGTGTTGGGGCTGGATTTGGAACTCCAAATCCGGCACATTCAAGCCCAACGGGCAGGTCCAAACTAAGCCAAATGGATTGGGTTTCGATTCTACGGCCCAGGCCCATTCACCTCTCAACGATCGAATCCTGAGCAGCAAGACGCTCTGTTCGGCGAGGTCGAGCTAAAGCTCGACCAAATCCCGACAAACAAGGAAGGATCCGAGCCAAGTCAAAGAGCGTATTCTCGCCAGTTCAAACGAGCCCGAAGATCACGGAGGAAGTTGCAGCACGTGGCAAGATTTCCGGCTGAAGCTGCTGCACGTGGCCGAGATACGCGCTGGAGTTCGAAGCTCGATGAGGCGAGCTATATAAAGAAGGAGAATGGCTTAGTTAAGGGACCTTCAGCTTGATTCTTTTACACACTTTTTACACTCGAAAACTCTGTAACCGCTCTTCGAGCTCTTTTCTGTTCATCTTCTCAATCAAAATCCTTGTAACCGTTTCATTCGACCGATTAATACAAAGTCTTTATTTCTAGCTTATACAGTCAATCTGTTCGAGAGAATATAACCCTTAATTCTCCTAAAGTTTCTTCTCTTACAAACACATAAATTTCTGAGTGTGGATTTCAGCATCCACATTTTGGCGCCGTCTGTGGGAAAGATCTATATATTTCTCTTACTCAAGAGCAGATCCTAAGCCAGCTGAAACCAAAATGGATTCAACTCAACAAACCTCGGGAAACGCCTCACTGATTCCGATCTCTCCAGATCAAGTTACCCCGACCGGCAACATCAGCCAGACAGCCGGCGGAAACAAACCTAGGGTCACAACCCTCGTCGATACCACCGCCACGAACTCCAACGTTCCCAGCCGCGTGGAACCGATCATGATCAACCTCATCACCCCACCAGGTACGACGAGTAACCAATCACAAGCAGCCGAGAGGCCTCCCTCTCGAACCTGGGTGAGATCCGAGAATCCACCTACAGCTCCGGCATCTCAGAGCCAAACATCTCCCGTTACCCGCCGATACCCGTAGCTTCTAGGAGCGCGGTGGAGTCGGCAGAGATACTCCAAATGCTCACGCATCTGATCGATCGACAACGAGATCAGAAGATCAGATTAGAAAGACAGGAAAGACGCCAAGCCATAGCTCGATCCGCTGTGAGTCCACCCCCGCAGACTCAGCTCGACTTCTCGTCGATCCCTGCTCCGAGTAATCCATCCAGACCTTATGTAACACCTCTACGTGCTCCAGGTCCACCAAACCTCGCCCCAAAGGCGAACCAAACACCAACCGCTACAGGTGTTCTAACTCCGGGAATACTAGAGATGGGACCTCGTCCAGCGACGAGATATCCATCTCCGCCTGTGCCAACGCCAGGAATACCTGAAATGGGACCCCGTCCCAATGCGAGATATCCGTCTCCACCTTTAAGACCACCAGGAACCGAGTCACCTCGACATAGATGGCTCGGATCCTCCGCCTTTGAGCTCGCAGATGCCACCCCAGTTTGGCCAACAACCGAACACGACCTCGATATCAAGACTTCCTAACGAGACCCGCGAACAGCCCATAGGGTTCGTTCACCAACAGCTCGGAACTCATATCCCGGACGATCCAACTCGAGCCAACCACCTCGGCGTCGGCTCGAGAAACCTAGTCGACTGTGAATCTTTTGAAAGATTCCAAAGTCAGACCGACTACGCTATTCGGCAGATGAACTCCATGTTCCATCAAGCCACGAGCTCAGCTCCCGACATCGATCGAGTAATCCGCAAGATCCAAACAGACTCCATTCACCTACTCGATTATGAACACATACCTCCGAGACACTACTAAAGTGTGAGTCCCAGAGTACGCTGGAAACAGCGACCGGCTCTTCAACCTCGCAGCTATCCGAGCTAATTTCTCCCCAGAAGAGAAAGAAGCAGGATACTGCAGACTTTTCGCCGAAAATTTAGTCGGACCAGCCCAGGAATGGTTTGCGACGCTGGAAGAAAATTCGATCTCGAATTTCAACGAGCTCGCAGTAGCCTTCCTCAAGCAATATTCGATCTTCATCGAAAAACGAGAAACCAAAGTCGATCTCTGGAAGCTAGTCCAAGCTCCAGATGAACCACTTCGGTCATACAACGCTAAATTTAAGGCGATCAAAGCAAAAATCACCAACCGTAACGAAGCAGTAGCCTTACGGACTCACTCGACGACGCGCTCCATCGCGCTTCCATATACACTAACATCAAGGACGAAACAGCAGCCTGCGAAGCAAAATACTGAAACTCACAGCTCCGCCTCACACCCTCCGGGTCGAAGAAAGCTAACGTTCCGCTTCCCAAAAGGGAGCCGCAGGGCAAAGGTCAGCATTCATATGCTATAGAAAGCTCGTCCCCTGAAAAAGGGTTGAGCTTCGACCAAAGCATATACTGCGAGCACCACAAAAAGAACGGACATTCCACCAAGAAATGCCGAACTCGAGCTAGAATCTTGGTGAAAAAGCTCGCCAAGGAAAAAGCTGAGAAGGCCGAGGCAAAAAGCGAAAAACCCAAAAAAGCCTCAACCCAAAACAAGGAAGCAGACCCCGACAAAGCACCTCAAAAACGAGATCGCGAAGTCGAAATCCAAACCCCTCACTCTCCTCTCAATGAAATCAGTAATAACCCCCCCCCCCCCTGCACCTTGGAAACCATCGAGCTCTTGCTCAACCAAGCTCTATAAGGTCGCGGGGGGACACGTATTACAACTACTCGGAAGCTCGTCAAAGCCGAGCATCACCCAACTCTCGACACCTCGAACTCAAGCGAGCTCCGGCTCATGCTTTGCTCAGTCGTTCGAGGGGGAGGGAGAGCTACCCATAATGAAGCGAATCGACTTCA